TATCACACGACTGGAATTCCAAGGGCAGGCTGGCAGAGATTCTTGAGGAGCCTAAAAATAGAATACCAATGTCATATTAGTCGCCTTGGCAGGCTAACAGCGATTCTTAGGGAATATTTGGAATTTTTAATACCTAAATTTCATTTTTCCAGGATTTGCCTCCCGTCTGCTACCTTCCGCTTCCGCCATCACCACTCGTCGTCAGCCGAAATCTCTCTGGCCACAGTAACGCATCGGGGGTACGGTAATTTGCAAAAAAAAAGAAAAATTGCATATTGATATTCAAACCCCACGGAAAATTACGTTTTCTCGTTGGCGAAATTGGCTGATGGGAGGTGAAACCCTGATTTTTAAGTGAAATTCTGACGTACGGTTTTCTTTATTTTAACAAAACGTGGATTTACGATTCAATTTCATTGTAGCTTACTGAAGAATAATATTGAAAAATGGCATCCAAATGTTAATCCAGCTTCAAATGGTGTTTTTGAGGCTTGGAAATCGGCCGAATGGAGGTGGAACGCAATTTTTTTGACTAAAATTCTGGCCTAAAGCTTTCCTTATTTTAACAAATGGCCAAGTTTGACGAAATAAGAAAGACTGTAGCCAAAATTGCCGCAAATATCCAGCCGTCATTATGTGTTTTCGATCGCGAGATAGACCGCTGGGAGATGAAACACACATTTTTAAATGTGTTGATGCTCCGTTGTCGTTAGGATGACATAATGACAAAAGCTAAGCTTTTCATCTACGTTAAATAGGAATACTCTAGAAAAATGGAAATGGAATACAATTCCAGCCTCAAGTGATGTGTTTCGATTCTCCAAATTGGCGATTCATGATGATTAATGACACATTATTTTCCTAAATATTCTATAAAAAATGAAACATATTTTTTCTCCTTCTGTATATTTATCTGTTTTCCTATTTTTTTTGCAGTTTGAGACGTCAAAATGAGGCTCTATTTTGATGATATTGATCTTTCAAGTAAAAAAAGAACTCGAACTATTGGTCTAAAATGGTTCACGACTTCATTTAGGCAAGAAACAGATTTTCTAAACTGTTCGAGAAATTCCTGAAAACGCTCTGCTAGCCTGCCCGGCATCGTCTCGCCTCTCTCTCTCTCTCTCTCTCTCTCTCTCTCTCTCTCTCTCTCATTTTCTCTCTTTCTCTCTCTCGATTACTCTCGCTCTCTCACTCTCCCTCGCTATCTCTCTTTCTATCCCTCTCTCTCTATCTCTATCTCTCTCTTTCTCTCTCTCTCTCTCTCTCTCTCTCTCTCTCTCTCTCTCTCTCTCTTTCTCGCTCTCACTTTCTCTCTCTCTCTCTATCTCTCTCACTCTCTCTCTGGCTCTCTCTCTCTCTCTCTCTCTCTCTCTCTCTCTCTCCTCTGTCACTCCCCAACTCGTCGATCAATCGGCAAACAATCACGGCTCGAATGTCTGCCTGAGGCTCAAGAAGAAAAAGCTCTTTCTCAGGCTCAGGCTCGGCCTGCACCCGGCTGTTTGGCCGTAGCCGGGAAAAATTGGAAACCACCTTCTCTCGGAGAGGACAGCAAATGACTTATGGGGCCCACTAGAGCCCCGCTTTTTCACTTCCGCAATGATCTCTGCCAGCTGGCCCCGGTGGTCTTGATTTAGGCCTTAGAATTAACATAATTTTTAGAAACAAGTTTCGGAAGTTTTTATAATTCCTATAATATCAATATTATTTATTAAGGTTTTATAATTGATATAGTTGATACTTTTTATAAGGAAAATTTTGATAAATTTAGGTATCTAATTTAGTAAATTGCTAAAACTAACTTATATTTATTCCTATTTACTATTGAATTTAATTTAATTGTTATCTACGTATTGAATTTTTATAAAAATTAAAACAAGCCTAATTTAATTAATAAGCTGTATAGTTTTTCTTAGTCTAAAACTAAAGGGATTTTACTATTTATAGCAAATCAATAATAGTCAGGTTTTCAGAATACAGGGTGTCCCAAAAAAAACCCCCCCTACCTAGCGGTCCGCAGTCGATTCCGATTTTTACGATTTAGGTATCTATCGAAAGCTCTCGAAAAGGCGAGAAAACAAGGAGGGTTGAATTTCTTAATTAAGCCTTTTTATTTGCTAATTTTATGTCCAAAAACCATGAAAACTGCTGATTTATGCGAGATCTGCATGCTAATTGCGAAATTCCTAATGAAAAATTCCCGGCTTTTTAGGAAAAACTGGAATATCGATAGAATCAGATTAAATCTTAAAAAACGAAACCCGCTTGTTTTCTCGCCTTTCCGAGAGCTTTCGATTGGTATAAAAATCATTCCGATCCGATCCGATTGACGGCCTCTAGGGGGTTTGGGACACCCTGTAGAATGCATCATTTCCCGCAAACGCTGTGGTTGAGTCAATTAACCATCGGGTTTTTTTTGCTAGTAAATTTCATGAAACATTAATTTTTTGTGATATTCCATCTTTTAAATTTAGGTAAATGCCAATTCATGCCAAGCTTTTACTGGAATAGTTTGACTCTCTATTATTCTAAAAATTATTCTTTTAACCTGAAAATTCTTTGAAACGCTTTGTTTTTGTAAAACGGTTCAAGATGACTAATTACTTCAAGAACTCTATATTCCTAGAGGAAGTTTGTAGAAACTTGTGTTCTTAAAATTTTAGGGCACAACTTTAAAACTCATTTTAGGCAAACCATCGCTTTTTCGTTTTTTGCGGCTTTTTTCTTATGAAAAAAGGGGTTTATGATGTTTATGCTATGATTTAAGCGCTGATTCTAGCCTAGACTCCCTTTCTTTACTGGGAATTTGATGAAACATTGTTTTTTATTTCGCGGAATTTCGAAATTTACAAAAATCCTAAATCATAACGTCCGTCTTCTTAAAGATTTTCTGCCGAAATCTAGGCCAGTTGATGCTGTAGCAATTTCTAATTATTGCCAATTCTGAACTTTATTTAATTAACTATTTAACTTTTACTGTAAGGATTCCATACAAAGCACAGCTCAAAATATTCGGATAACCAATGTTTTATGAACACAACTTTTTGGAACACATTTTTTAAAAATCTGGTTGCTCTGCTTGTCGGCCTCCCTAATTGCCTTTGCTAGCTTGCCTCTCAGGACTATCAGTGCTTCTGAATTAAAGAAATTTCCTTATGATTTTTGCGGTGCAGTTGTCGATTCATTAATTGAGCAAAAAAAAGCAAATCCGCAACTTTTTTTGAAAGCCCGTTTACTCCAAAAAAAATTTAAACGTTCTAAAAACAACATAAAAACATTTTATATCGATTAATAGGCCAACCGGGTCCGCCAGGAAATAAATTGGTCCTTTCCAAAACCCATGTTTCAAAAAAGTTTCGACTTAAACGGATCGAATTTTGTTCTAATATTGTAGACTCATCTCCCTGAATTCTTTCGGTTTTTATTTCCTCTTAAAATTTTGTTAATTATTTCTTAAAACAATCTCCGCCATTATTAGAATGGAGCCGAACTATTTGCACGTGCGGCAGCGGAGCCCGCGGTTACGGTGGCAAGATCGGCAGTATAGGAAGGTAGCGGAAAATGGGATTTTTCCACCGTAATCGGTTGTTTATTATTGAAACTGTGCGAAAATCAAGGTAGCTAAACAAGCGGCTGTGAAAGGCTAAAAAACGTCAAAATTCAATCTCAAACATTTTTTGGAAAAAGAAGTTTCAAATATTTTCAAAAACCATGAAAATAGTATAACTACAATCAACAAATAATAAATGATTTTAAGCCGTAATCATTTGACAATTATTTTTATGAAAATCTAGCGGCGGTTCAAAAATTAGTAACGCTAGTAAAGTACGAAAATGACAAAAAGCTAGTAGATCGAAAAAATTGGCAAAAATAGGTTTCAAATATTTATAAAAAATGTAAAAATTGTCAATGTGCATTATCAATACAACACTCATCAGATTAAAATCAGAACAGCACAAACGAGAAAATTTAAATACAATAATTTGGCAAAGTTAAGTTCAACTGTTTTTGAAAAGCGTGATAAATTTTTTAACAACAATCAATGTAATCAATGATTTTTAAGGCAAGAAGATAATATCTTCAAAATTATTTGTAAAAATCAGTTTCAAATATTTATCTAAACACGTGAAAACTTTCAATCGGCGATATCCGTCGATTTATTTTTGGCACAGTAACCGGTCAATAAGACGCTTAAAATATTTAGAAGTACTTTCTTTTTAAGAAGATACTAAAAAAAACTTTATTAAAAATCGTATTTCAAATAAATGCAAAACGTTTGAAAATTATGACAACTTAGTGAACGTAAATTCGGCGGATTAATTTTTGCTCTAATTTAGAAAAAGTAAGATACCTAGCAAGCGTCAAAATCCACTTCAAAACTTCGGAAATAAAGTTCAGAAAAATGAGTTTCAAACAATATTAATTATTTGAAAGGTCAATGTAGATCAATAACTGAAGAAGAGGCTACATTTAAAATGTCCTTTACATTGTTAAACATTCAATTAATTATTATTTTTATATAATCTATATTTTCCAGGAATCCGTCCAGACGTGGAACTCGGAAAAGGGCGCCGATGATTCGTCGTTTTTCCTGAATGGCAGTGGGTTTTTGTTTTTTTAGCAAATAAAATCAGCCAAGTTTTTTCCGGAGTTTGAATACTGTTTCACATGTTATAAAGGTCTTACATTTACAAAGCAAATTAACAAAATGCTATTTTTGTCAATTTTCAAAAATATCTGATCTTCGCCAAAAAGAGAATGTTTCACAAAACATTCCAAAAAACATCGCCGTTCTGCTCGTAAAAGCATCCATAGATTTTTCACTCTCATGCTCATTAAAAATCGGGATTATGAGGTAAATAAAAAACCTCAAAACAATTGAATCTTATTGCCTATTTTGGTATTTTTCATATGCCCATTATTAATGCCTATTTTGTGATTTGTCAGTCCCTTTAAAAAGCTTTTCAGCAACGACACCTACCTCCCCACCAGACCCCGGAATGTTTGAGGCCAACAACGGACAACACCTATCAACGTACAGTAGCCGGGCCCGTAGTCATTCTCCACAAAAAAGAGGCACACCAAATAATGGGGATACGAGGATCGTAAGCAGGTAGGGAAGAAGGGAAATGTAGCAGAGACCATTTGGGATGAGAGAGAGGGGGAGGGGGCAGGCTAGCAGAGATCATTGGGGATGAGAGAGAGGGGAGGGGCAGGCTAGCAGAGATCATTTGGGATGAGAGAGAGAGGGGAGGGGGCAGGCTAGCAGAGATCATTTGGGATGAGAGAGAGGGGAGGGGGCAGGCTAGCAGGAGATCATTTGGGATGAGAGAGAGGGGGGGGGGGCAGGCTAGCAGAGATCATTTGGGATGAGAGAGAGGGGGAGGGGGCAGGCTAGCAGAGATCATTTGGGATGAAGAGAGAGGGGAGGGGGCAGGCTAGCAGAGATCATTTGGGATGAGAGAGAGGAGGAGAAGGGAGAAATGAGAGAGGGAGAGGGGCAGGCTAGCAGAGATCATTTGGGATGAGAGAGAGGGGGAGGGGGCAGGCTAGCAGAGATCATTTGGGATGAGAGAGAGGGGGAGGGGGCAGGCTAGCAGAGATCATTTGGGATGAGAGAGAGGGGGAGGGGCAGGCTAGCAGAGATCATTGGGATGAGAGAGAGGGGGAGGGGGCAGGCTAGCAGAGATCATTTGGGATGAGAGAGAGGGGGAGGGGGCAGGCTAGCAGAGATCATTTGGGATGAGAGAGAGGGGAGGGGGCAGGCTAGCAGAGATCATTTGGGATGAGAGAGAGGGGAGGGGGCAGGCTAGCAGAGATCATTTGGGATGAGAGAGAGAGGAGGGGCAGGCTAGCAGAGATCATTTGGGATGAGAGAGAGGGGGAGGGGGCAGGCTAGCAGAGATTATTCTGGAAAATTCCCTCTCCATTTTAGCCAGGACGAACCGAGATGTAATTCCATTTATCCAAATTTCCATGTTATTGAAGACATACGAACAGGGACGTAGCGTAAGGTGGGCCCCCTGGGCCCGGGCCCCGAAATCGGCCGGGGCCCGAAAATTTCATAAGGGGGGACCCTTATGATTTTTATTTTCTCAAAAATTTTGCTGCCTGCGGCGCTATTTTTTCACGTTTTTACGACTATTTGTAGAGCCACATAGCCTTGTTTCTAAATTTTTTTTGCCTGCGGCGCTGTTTTCTTGTTAATTTTTTTGAGTTTTCTGGAAAAAATTTTTCGGGGCCCCCCCCGAAATTTTTTTCTGGCTACGCCCCTGCATACGAAACATGATTTTTCAAAAAAAATATAGTTATTTTTAAGCATAGGCAAGCCAACAGAAACCCTTTAGGAATTTAGAAAAGATTAGTATCAGCAAAATACTGTAATTTTCAGGTCCAAATCTCCTCAAAAGCGAAAAGCAATCGCCCGTACCCTGGACTACCTGAACAGTCAATGCCATCTGGAAGGCTGCTCGGCTACGGTGGTTGTCGAGGTCGGATTTCATCCTTTTTGCTTTAAATTTGATTTTAAAAAGAATTTTAGGATGTTTTTAGCACAAATTTTGACAATTTTACGTTAAAGCTTCTTTAATTCTGCCGTCGCACGATCGAATTAGCAGTCCCAACGCCCAATTTTAACGGCCGTTTTTTGAAACACCAAATTTTTTAAAGTTTGTTTGTCAGTTTATGTCGGGAATTTTGTTACGGTTTAATTATATCAAACTTTTTGGCTTTTTAGATTTGGGAATACGCAAAAAAAGCAATAAAATCTTAACCAAGACAAGCAAAATTTTTTGAAAAACATGTTTTACCTAAAAAGCTAGAAACGTGCACAAGTCCGAGGAGGATGGTTGCAAAGTGCAAGTCCTTTAATAAATTTAGATTTTCAACTGGCATGTTGCAAGTAATTCTAGAATTGGTATTTATCTTTTTTTTCAAATTTGCAGCGGTTTTCAGCTTTAAAAAAGAAAAAGAAAATCAGTGTTTTAAAAAAGCTTCACCAAAAAGTTTAAAAAGTTCAAAGAAAGTGGGAAATGAAACCGCAATGCCAGGCCCCGTTTTTCTTGTAGTTTGTCTGTTTTTCTTCTTATTTCTGCAGAATTCTGTAACGAATTTGTAAACTGTAGTGTTGCAACTTTCCATTATGCCGGAAATTCCTAACCTTATTCTTAAAACGTTTGAAACACGCTATTTTCCGGCCATTTTTCAAATTTTTCGAAACGCCGAATTAAGGCAAGGATATCTATAGATTTTGTATATTTGATTTTTTTAATAAAAAAAAATTGGCGGACGGAGTAAACAACTTTTGAAAAAACCAGGACGAAAAATGTGTTTCATCTAAATTCCTTATAATTCAGCGAAATATGTTGCTAATGGGTTGCCACCCTCAACTCCTACATTGCCTTTTTGTAGCTCTTATTTAAATTTGATTCTTTATAAGGGTATTGATTTAACAAAATATTTTTAGTATTTATTTTATGAGGATTTTTTTGTTTTCCAAATCAAGGGACGGTTTAATTAGGCCTCCCGATGCCCAGTTTGATCGGTCGTTTTTTGAAACATCAATTCTCTAGGAAAAAATCCAGGTCCTTGATCTTTTAGGTAATTTTCAATTTTATTCAGAAACACAAATTTTTATTAATGGAAAAGAATAGAAAGCAACATTAAAAACGATTAATATAATTTTTATATTTCTAAAACCATGTTTGACCTAATCACCTAAAATATCCAAATCCCTGGGCATTATTGATCCATTTTCTGTCTCAAAATTTTCTGAAATTTCTAAAGTATTCATTAAAATAATACCGTAAAAAATTAGGTTGTTATGTTTCAGATAAGTTCCCAGTAAATTCTTGAAATCTGACTGCAATCAGCGTAGGACGTCCGCTAATACTTTGGCCATGGAGTTTGACCCATTCAAATTAAGAATATGCTTTTCTAATATAGTTAAGCCATTAATAATTACAATTAAAATTATATATAACATAAATAAAATAATTAAAATGCAGAAGTTTTTTAGGCGACGAAATTCCTCGTCTGCAAGCATCAGCTCTCCCATGCTTCCGAATATTTTCGTAATGTTTTCACGGCGGATGGAGGGCGAAGTGAGGTCAATGTGGTAAGCCTCCTAAATGATCTCTGCTAGCCTGCCCCTCCCCCTCTCTCTCATCCCAAATGATCTCTGCTAGCCTGCCCTCCCCCTCTCTCTCATCCCAAATGATCTCGGCTAGCCTGCCCCCCCCCCTCTCTCTCATCCCAAATGATCTCTGCTAGCCTGCCCCCTCCCCCTCTCTCTCATCCCAAATGATCTCTGCTAGCCTGCCCCCTCCCCCTCTCTCTCATCCCAAATGATCTCTGCTAGCCTGCCCCTCTCCTCTCTCTCATCCCAAATGATCTCTGCTAGCCTGCCCCCTCCCCTCTCTCTCATCCCAAATGATCTCGCTAGCCTGCCCCCCCCCCCTCTCTCTCATCCCAAATGATCTCTGCTAGCCTGCCCCTCCCCCCTCTCTCTCATCCCAAATGATCTCTGCTAGCCTGCCCCCCCTCCCCTCTCTCTCATCCCAAATGATCTCTGCTAGCCTGCCCCCTCCCCTCTCTCTCATCCCAAATGATCTCTGCTAGCCTGCCCCTCCCCCTCTCTCTCATCCCAAATGATCTCTGCTAGCCTGCCCCCTCCCCCCTCTCTCTCTCATCCCAAATGATCTCTGCTAGCCTGCCCCCCCCCCCTCTCTCTCATCCCAAATGATCTCTGCTAGCCTGCCCCTCCCCCTCTCTCTCATCCCAAATGATCTCTGCTAGCCTGCCCCCTCCCCCTCTCTCTCATCCCAAATGATCTCTGCTGCCTACCCTTTCCATTTTAGGTAGTCTCCGATATGTCGGTTCCCTCCCCTGCCACTCAATTCCGATGGTTTATCGAGAGCTCGGTGCCCTGCCCCGGTCTGAAGGATATCAGCGGTAGGTTCAACTGAATTAAAAATAAATAACCAATGATCACAAATGTCAGTCAAAATCTATTGCCCAAAATCAAGCACAAAACGGCCTCCGGTAGACCCTGATGTTTCATAGATTTTTAGCTAGACGCAACGCTGATTTTCAGGAATTACGCGCCTTTCTTTGCGAAAATAAAATTACATCAACCTCTAAATTAGACCTCCCGAACCCCCCCATTTACCCCCATACTTGTGGGGGTTGGATGGGGGTCATAGGGGGGTTGCGAGGGGGGTAGGGTGGGGGTTCGGCGGGGTGTTGAATGGGGGTTTTCAGGGGTGTTGAAAAGGGGGTTGAAAAAAGTTGAAACAGACGAAAACGTTCTTAAAACTTAAAACCATTAACTTACACACAGCAAGAATTTTGCCCAATGGGGGTTGGAATGGGGGGTTCGAGTGGGGGGTCCATTGGGGGTTGGCATGGGTGTCTGTTGGGGGGTTTTGGGGGGTGTTGCGATGGGGGTCAAATGGGGGTCCTTGGGGGTAAATAGGGGGGGTTCGGGAGGTCTACTCTAAATTCTCTAGCTGAAACCTAAATTATACCATTAACAAAAAATGTTTCAAGATAGCATTTAGTAATTCAGAAACTGGTGACTCGTACTTTTTTTGTCCGAACGGTAATAATGTTTCAAATAACGTTGGTATTACGCGATTCTACACTGGGTCAATTTGTGATACCGCCGGTCGTCTAAAATTAAATTTCTAAAAATCTACATCGACGTTTAAAAATTATCGGACAAAAACCAGGTTTTTATATTCGTCAAGTTCAGAAAAATAGGTTTCAAAAATTCGCATTTAAAAGGCAAACCTGAACCATTAATGGGCGATCGTTCCCTTAATTTTAATGTTTCTTATATTTATCGTATTACGCGATTTTGCAATGTGGTAATTCAGAGAAGATTAGCTCCAGGATTAAAATCATACGCCTCTCCCTAGCCGTGTAAAAATTACCTGAGCAAGCGCTGCATTTTTATTCTCGCCAAAAAAAATGTTTCAAAAAAGCGCATTTCTGATGACCCGCTGTAGCTTTTACTCGCTGACCGGTCAAATTTTAATCTTGCTTATATTTTTAGTGGGACCCGATTTTACAAGTTGGCAATCGTATTCGTTGTTGTTGGCCGGAAACTAGATGATAAAACGCTCAAGAAACGCGCAAAAAATTACCTGCGCGTGAGCGAATTTTTATTCTCGCAAAAAATATTTTAAGAAAGCACTTGCCTCAGGAAAGGTAGCAACTTTCAATGATTTCTTTGATGCGATGCTAATGTTTCAAATATTTTTGGCATTACGGGATTCCAACCTGGATCAATTTGACGTCTATCCCTGACAACTAAAAATTACAAAAAACTACACAGACGTTCAAAACTTACCGGGCAAACACCTAGTTTTTATAGTCGTCAAGATCAGAATAGTTTCAAGGGTTCGCATCCTTAAATGGCAAACTTGGGCAGATCAATTAATGCCTTGGCGACGGTTAAATTTTAATGTTTCCTTTAGTATTGATATGACGCGATTTGGCACTTGGGTAATGCGACGAAGTAGCCCAGGATTAAAATCATACGCTTCTCCGTAGCCGTGTAAAAATTAGCTGCGCAAGCGCTGCATTTTTATTCTCGCCAAAAAAAATGTTTCAAAAAAGCGCATTTCTGATGGCCCGCGATAGCTTTTACTCGCTGACCGGTTAAGCTTTAATGTTGCTTATATTTTTAGTGGGACCCGATTTTACAAGTTGGCAATCGAATTTGTTTTTGCTGGCCGGAAACTCGATGATAAAACGCTCAAGATACGCGTAAAAATTACATATCTGAACAAAATCTACATTCTACCTTCACAAAAAAAATGTTTCAAGAACACGCATTCCCGATGAAATTTAACGACTGCTAATGATTCTTTGCGCGCTGGTTTTCTAATGTTTTTCCAATTTTGATGGCACGCGACTGTGCTAATTTTTGTACTTCTAAAAAAAAAATTGCCCCCTCCCCCGATAATGCGAAAGCACCAAGCTTCGTCATTTTTTAACAAAATTTTATGGTTTAAGCGCCGGTCGTTCAGAGTATTTAAATTTAATTAATAATTAAAATTACCGTTCGGATCTTAATCGAAATTCCCAAATTCCAGACGAAACCCTCGAGACGTGCATGCGGTTGGCGAAGCGTTTCGTCGCCTTGGGCCTTGAGGCCCGATGCAGCAAATACATCCATCAAAACGTGGGTTTCCTGCGAAAAATTTCCGGAAAGGATCTCGGCTAGCCTGCCCTGTTTTAGGCGCTCTCCCGACAGCCCATCGTCGCGTTATGTTGGCTGAATTGGTGCCTGAAGCATCGATTCGACCCTACCGTTCAGCAATCCTGTATGCCAGCGGTAGCTAGGTGGGTGGGATTCCTAAATGAACTCTGCTAGCCTGTCCCACGTGCTTTCCCGGTTCTTTTGCATTATCGGGGGGACCAACCTTTTTCTAAGGAAGAAATTTTTCAAATATAAATAACGAAAGTCTTCCAAAATTATTTTTTTACTATTCCTAAGCGGAAAAAATTTACAAATTATTGTTGAAAATTACAAAAAATATCGATTTTGCGACCAAAACTTCGGCTTTTTGAAAAATTTCCAGTTTTATATAGTTTTCCTGGCTTAAATTTAGAGTTATTTTACTAAAACCTTTATTAAAATACTTCGTATGAGGTTATTAGGCATTTCCCCCCCCCCCGATAATGCGAAAGAGCCCTGTTGACTAATCAGAAATTGCTAAAGCGCTATAAAGTAACTTAGCCCCCCCGCTAAGGAACCAGAACCAAAAAATCAAAAAACTTTTTTAGGCTTTCCCTAACCAGCCTGGAGCAACACCGCCACATGCTCTCCGAGCGCATCTACGCCGATCTGCTAGCGGCCAAGCTGAGGGCGTGCTACGAGAAGGTGGGCTCCATTGAGTCTAAAAATTAAATTTATAGCAAAGGATGACTATTTTTAAGCAAAAAAAAACTATCTAAACTATCTAATAACCGCTAAAAAATTTTTAAACGTCGAAATTTTGGTCGAAAATCGGCCATTTTTAGTTGAAAATCTATATTTTTTTGTATGTTTTAACTAAATTTTGTAACGTTTTTACGCTTGGGAATAGCAAAAATAGCTTAGAAACACTTTAGAGATTTACCAGCGCTGACCCCCGCTACGCGGGGGTTCAGCGCTGGCCCTCCCCCGAAATTTGAATTTTGAATTTGAATGCAAAATTTGGCTGAATTCCCGGTCGCACGGACGGACGGACATTAGAAATTTATATATAGTAGATATATGCAAAACTGGGCCCTTATAAAAATTTACAAACTTGATTTAGGCCGTCTCGGTCTTCCAAACGATCCACCGGATGGACCACTTCACCTGTGAACTGCCCCAATGCCCAAGATGTGGGCGGACGAAGGAACACATGAAAGTCAGGGTGCTCGCTAATCCATGCAGGTATCAAAGAGCTGAAAATCTAGTTAGAAAACTAAAAATCAACTACAAATAGAGATTTTGGTCGAAAACCGAGAATTTCGGGGGGAAAATCGATTTTTTGCATTTTTTAATACATTTTTGTAAAGTTTGGACGCTCAGAAACAGTAAAAAAATCGCTTATAAACACTAGCAATACTAGAAACGCCTTCCGTTTAGAAACTTAGAAATAGAAATCAACTAAAATTTGAAATTTTGGTCGAAAATCGAGACTTTTTGGGCGAAAAATCGTTTTTTAAACATTTTCGTACAATTTGGACGCCCAGAATCCGTAAAAAAATAGTTTAGAAACATAAAACTTCTAGAAAACTCGTCGGCTGTGAGCGCTGCATGCGAGACGCCGGATGTGAAATTGAGGCAAAAGCCCAGGGCGACCTGCAGGCCTACTACCAATGTCCGCATGCGCTACTCCCACTAAATGACAATACCGGTTCATTATTCTATTCATTATTTTCACATATAGAAATGATAGCGTTTAAAAGTCTCCCCAACCTCAAATTTCCAGAAGAATGCCAATGCCAGACGGCCAGCCTCAGCGCCCACCTTCGCGCGCAGACCGAGCGCAGCAGCCGGCCGCGCCAACGACTGGCCAGCGATCGATCCCAAAAATAATTGGAGAGCTAGCCGATCGATATTGAGGCCGAAATAAAGGATATATGCCTAAAATCAATAACGCCGATTACGAGACACGGCAAATTCGACCTCGTGCTCGTTCTAAGAATTGTGCAATCTCGATTCCGATCGGCATAAAAGCATTGTTTAGACATTCAACAAAAAATTTTTACAACCGTGGCATAAGTAAGTTTTAACTATATTAGTAACAGAAAAACTTTCAAAAAAGTTAGAACATTATTTGAAAAATCGACATTTTGGTCTTTGCGTCAAAAAATAAATTTCGGCCTAAAACTAATTTTTTAATAAAATCTAGATTTTTTATGCTTCGAAATAGTTAAAAACAATAGACAAACGCATCCGCTATTTATGTAAAAAATACTCAAGAACCGTGTTTCAATACCCTTTTCCACCAAAATTCGCTGTTTCACCAAAAATCTCCAAAACCTCCAACCTTTTCTCGTCCAAGAAGATCACCAAAAACCCAAAAATTGCTCCAAACCTCATCAATAAAACCAAGCGGAAAAGCCTATCTAAAAAACAACATCAACAAGTTCTCGCTCAAAAGCTTTATTCCTCACACAAAAAAAACTCTCATCACACAGCAAGAGAGAGGCGAGTATGGTGAGTGAAAAAAGGGAGGCCGGGGTGCGAGTATTAAATGAAAGGCGAGAGATCCATTGTGGTGTGCGGGGGGTAAATTTGGGATTTTTTGGGTGGTGATGTTGGTGGCGGCGTGTCGATGGTGTTGGCGCCGTTGTGGTGGTGGGTGGATGAGGCCGAAGCGCGTCGTCGGGTCGGCCGGCTACTCCTTCTAAAAAAACAAAGTGTAAAACGTTAAACTTCGATTAAAAATCGAGCCTTTTCATTAAAAATATATAAAAACTATTTTCTACACTGTTTCAGTATTTGGAGACGGCAAAATGTCGCAAATTTCGATTAAAAAGTATTTTAAATAGATTAAAAGTAATACATATCAATTTTTCGAGGAAAAGTGTCCAATTTTAGCCTAATTTACAGTTTTTGAAAAGTTTTCATTACAAATACAACGAAATTCGATTAAAAAACTAAAAAATTTCCTTAAGAGTTTGCTATTCGTTAAAAAATCCCATTACCTTCTCCTCCTTCTTTTCCTCTTCCTTTTTCTCGTCCTTCTTCTCGTCTTTCTCATCCTTCTTGTCACCCTCCTTCTTCTCCTCCTCCTTCTTCGGCTCCTCCTCCTTCTTCTTGTCGTCGCTCTTCGGCTCCTCCTTGTCCTCCTTTTTGTCGCCCTCCTTCTTCTCGTCGGGCTTCTTCTGCAAGTTAAATTTGAATAGGAGAAACCAAAACCAAACCTCATCTTTCTTCTCCTCCTCCTTCTTGTCGTCTTTCTTGTCGTCGCTCTTCGGCTCTTCCTTCTTATCATCCTTCTTATCATCCTTCTTTTCCTCCTTCTTTTCGTCCTTTTTCTCGTCCTTCTTGCTGGCCTCCTTCTTCTTGTCGTCCTTCTTGCTCGTCTCCTTCTTCTTATCATCTTTCTTGCTCGTCTCCTTCTTTTTGTCGTCCTTCTTGCTGGTTTCCTTCTTCTTGTCATCCTTCTTGCTCGTCTCCTTCTTCTTGCTGCCCTCCTTCTTGTCGTCGGGCTTCTTCTCCTGAAAAAGCGTATTATTCAAGTGGAAAAACCAGTTAGATAACTTTAAAAACTAAAAGGTTGAAATTTCGGTCGTAAAAACAAGCTTTTTTGGGAGAAAAAGCGATCTTTTGTAATTCTTTTTACTTTTTTTTATTTTTACGAAAAGAACTTGTATAAAAAATAGCTCATTACCTCCTCCTTCTTCTCTTCCGGCTTCAACACCTCGAGCACCGTCGGCCGGACCTCGGTGACCGCCGAGACGATCGGGTTTTCGACAAGCCCACCGCCCGGCGCGTCCTTCTTATCCGACGGCACCGCCGGCCTCAGCGTCGCTTGCGCCTAGAATTAAAATATAAACTCCACGCGTTAAAGTATACCTTGACTTCCTTGTTATCCGCCTTCTTCTTATCGCCGTCCTTCTTGCTGCCCTCCTTCTTCTTCTCATCCTTCTTCTTGTCGTCCTTCTTCTCCTCCTTCTTGTCGTCCTCCTTCTTCTCCTCTTTCTCCTCCTTCTTCTCTTCTTTCTCTTCCTTCTTCTCCTCCTTCTCTTCCTTCTTTTCTTCCTCCTTTTTCTCCTCCTCCTTCTTCGGCTCCTCGGGCTTCTCGGGCGACTTGGCGGGCGGGGCGGCGGCAGCTGCAGCGGCAGCGGCGGCGGCGGCGCCCGGGGATGTCGGTGTTGTGGGTGTCTTCGCGCCGACGATCGTCTTCTTGCCCGGCGATTTCGAGGGTAGCGTCGGTTCCTAAAGATCGTCATTTCATAAACGCTAAGGGCCACAATAACTTCGGTAAAAAACTTCGTTTTTAAGCTTTTTTTCTAGGCGCCTTTTTGTGTTACAGGGCCGTAAAGGGTGCCAAAATGTTCGCCGTGCTCTAATTAGTCAGAATCCATTACATTCGAGTCGAAAAAATAGCGAAAGCTAAAATATTCAAATTGGAAAAGTCAGAATTGACTGTCTAGCCGTTTCTACGTGTTTATCTCGGCTCCCTTGTGGTGCTACAGGGCTGTAAAGTATACCAAAATGTTCGCCGTGGTCTAATTAGTAAGAATACATTAAATTTTAGTCGAAAAAAATAGTAAAAGCAAGGTAAAGTACCGTAAAAAAAACCCCAATTTCGACTCAGGGGCGGGGCTAAACTAGACTTTAGGCCTATAAAGTATCCAAAAACGTTCGTCTGATTCGATAAAGTATTTAGATTAAGAAATGTAAGAAAAATCGACAAAATTCCGCCCAAATTAGCATAAAAACCACGTTGCATACCTTCTTCTTGCCGCCGCACCCGATGACGGCGATGCAGAGGAGGGCGTTGAAGATGAGCATCGAGAACAGTTCAGCAACCATTGGCCATTGGACAATATGTAAGAGAATTCCCATTATCAAAATAGGTGGCCGGCCGTCGAGACGATGGGATGTGTAGAAATGACTGGATTTCGCGCCTCGATCGGGGCATGTCGGCCATTATGCAGCAGGGAAATCGGCTCGCTTCCGGGATTCTGGAATCAAATTTTTTACAGCGGTTTTTTTTGGTTCTGGACTGTTAGCAGGGGGGAATAACAAAATTTAACCCATTTTTATAACGTTTTACATCGTTTTTCGATATAAAAACCGTATAAAAACTATAAAATTTTCAACAATTTGGGCTTTTTTGGTCGAAAAATCTATAAAAATTCCTAAACAACGTGAAGATTTTTGAATTTTGAAAAACGCTTCAAGATTTTTGTAACTTTCGAGCATTCAAAGACTACGAAAACCCTATAAAAATTCAGTTTTTATTATTGGTAGGTAAACGGAACCCCCCCCCCCCCTGCTAACAGTCCAGTACATCTTTTTAAGTTTAAAAAATTAAAATATTTAGTCCGGTGTATTAGTACACAAGCATACTAATTCCGGCCTTCTTTGCTATAACGCGCTATTTACCGTAACAGACAGCGTCATTAGGTTGTAGCACGGAGTCCGCTCCATTTTCGGTGGGAAAAATTTTGATTTTCATTTTTGAGTCCCAATTTTTTTTATCGCTTGCTTTCTCATTTTTTTATTTTGTTTCACTCGTTTAAATTATTTTTCTGGTGAGTTAAATAGTTTAAATTAGCCCTTTTAGTCGATTGATTTCTAACTTTCATCTTTTTGGCGATTGCGGTAACTCTCTTTTGATTAGCGCCATGCGTTTGTGAAGCTCGTTGCGTTTTCGGTTTCGAATTTTCTTTCTTTAGCCCGCTTCTACGACTTCTCTAATTCTACGTACGGCTTCCTTATCTTTCTGTTTTTATTTACGATTTGACTATTCGTATTTGCAGAAGTAGGCTCCAATACTAGCTTCCCCTTCTAGCTTTTTTTTATTTTCTTTGATTTCTGCTTGCGCTGCTTCGCTCACCTTTCTTTTTCGATCTTTCTGCGCTCGCCCGTTTCGACTTTACTAACATTTCTCTTTCAGGTCTAAGCACTAACCACTTGTGCCGCTCGCCACTACCGCAGTCTTCTCCGCCAGCATGTCAACTCGCGCCAAGATGCCGTCGATTTCGGAGGACGAGGCCGCCGCCGTGCAGCAGCAACATCATCACCTACTGGCTGGGGTATATTTTCGTCCTTTTCTTCCATTTTAAACTTTTGTTTTAGCTAAGCCAGCTCTCCTGCTCGACGGGCAACAACGAGGGCTTCACGCTGAACCGCACCGACGAGGAGAAGTCGGAAACCCGCAAGAGCGAGGCCCCCTCCGATGATTGTGTCTCGATGCGCTCGCAGGCCGCGCAAACGACCCGCATTGATGGCATGATGAATGTGAGCGATTGGTTCTTTCCCATTATCGGGGCGCGGGCTGACAGAACTTTTGTATAAGTCTAGAAATGCATAATGACGCAATAGGAACAGTTTTTTATGATGTTTTTAGTAAGTTTCAGCTATATTCAGCTGAAAAACTACCTAGAAACTTTCAAAAACTCCAAATTTTGGTCAAAAAGCAATTTCTCATCGAAAAATCGATATTTTTGTTCTTTTAATGAAAGTTTAGAAAGTTTTCGCGTTTAGGAATGATATAAAACAGCTTAGAAACACTTTTTTGTTTATATTTAAGCAATTGGATCCTAGAAAAACCGTTGCTGCGATGCGATGCGATAATGCGAAAGAAACTGGATTTTGTTACTTGTATTTTTAATAGCTTCATCTTTTTCTTTTAGCCGCTTCCACCGCCACCTCCACACATCGTCACGCCACGCACTGAGGCTGTAGCCGCCGGCGGGGCCCCGTACACCTTCCGCCAGATCCAGCAGATCACCGTCAAGCCCTCGCAGCAGCAACAACACAGGTATTGAACCTTCGAATGATTTCTAATGTTTTTTAGTAACACCCCGGTGAAGCTGCTGCAGGCTGATCTCAACAACAACAATCGCGCCACGCCCAACACTCGCAGCAACAACAACACGGGTGGACGCGGGAATGGACGCGCCGGACTGCTGGGCACTCGCCCCTACCAGCCAAGCACCACCACCAGCAACCCGCCGACGTACGGCCAGAAGTCGTTCCAAGTTGGCCAACCGACGTGGCGCAACCGTCCTGCCTCGGCAGCTGCTCAAATTGGTATACGTTTTAATCGTGTGTCTTTTTTCTCAAAATTTTCCGGGCCTTTGTTCTCTAATGGTTTTTTAAAATGTTCTATTTTTAAACCTTTTTTTGGAAAAGTCAACAATAAATTTGGATAGGCTTTTGAAATGCAAAATGCTCGAAAATAAAGCTATTTATTTTCGTATATCAACTACCCTTTTTCAGGCAACAACTCACCGACGGTTCGCTCGCAGAGCAAGGTGCAGCCGCCGATGCCGTTCAGCGACGTGTCGGCCGCCCAGCAGTACCCGATGATCACCACCGGGATGAACGGCGTCGTCACGCTCATCCTCGCCCCCAAGTGCTACCTGGAGATGAGCGTCGACAAGTGCCTGCACATCGTCGCCCCCGACAAGTTTGCTGTAAGTAATTTTTTCAGTTTTTGAATCTTGCGTTTTTAGATCACGCTGAACACGAAGGGCACGTCGAACGTCGTCCAGCATCCGCGCGCCAAGATCGTCCACTGTGACCAGAACATTTGTGCCAGATTCAGTACGTTTTTTTGCCATTATTTTTTGTTTAATTTTTGCTTTTAGCGGCTGAAAACGACAAGATGGCCGTGTTCGACACGTACGGCGTGCTCTTCACGATGGCCCATCTCGCTCAGGGGTACCTCATCAGCTCGTCGCAGAACGTGCAGCAGTACAGGGTAATTTTTGTACGTTAGATGTTCATGCTGTTCTTTAGGCTCCGGTAATTGTGCCGATCGACGTCAAGCAGTTTGCCACGATGAACGGGGATCGCGACTGGGCGACCTGGTCGTTCTACACCGAGAGCCAGACGGGCCCCACGGTATATTTTTTTAATATTTATCGACTTTTCTGAATTACAGATCTTTCGCATTATTGGGGGGGGGGAATCAAACCTTTTGTGCGTCTCCAAATTTCTATTAGCTAATTATTTGAGAAAAACTATCTAAAAACTGCAAAACGGATTAAAAAGTCTAGATTTTGGCCAAAATCGGCCAGTTTCGTCAAAAAAATCTTTGATATTTTCGTAATAAAAATCCCCCTTCTCGTTTAAAAACCATTTTTTTAGCAAGTGGAGCTGTGCCGCGAAATCGTCAACCAGGCCGTCATCGAGAGCCGCTCGGCCGACGGGAGCTACGCCGTCCGCGTGCACGACATTCGCATCGACTGCTTCCCGGACGGCGAGATCACTGTAATTCCATTCCTTGAGGCTTTCAAATAGTTTTTCCTAGATCAACGCCCGTCCCCGTCAAGTGTGCTGCAACTGGCAGACCGGGCTCGTGGCGCTGCGCACCCCGTCGATCGACATCGCCATCGAGGAGGACGAGAAGGCGTACGTGAAGAAGGGGCTGAAGCGCGTGCACGTCTCGTGCAGCGGAATGGTCGTCTCCGACGGCAACATTGTGGCCAGCACCGATCAGCGCGGCCGCATCATCTCGGCTTGAGGCGACGAGAACGAGACTCGGAATGTGGCAAGGTATCGCTTCTGGACTACTAGCGGGGGAAACAAATTTTTCGCTGTTTTTTTACGGCTCTGTAACAAAATTTAGCCCATTTTTATAGCATTTTACGTAGTTTTTAGCTTTAAAATCGATAGAAAAATCAAAATTTTTGAGTTTTTGGACAAAATTCGAATTTTCAAAATGTAAAAATATCTTGTTTATAACTTTCTAGCGATCAAAAGCTACTAAAAACGCTATAAAATACCTTTTTGGTGAAAAACGTATGAAAAATGAGCAAAAAAAGTCAGAATTTTCGAATTTTCGAAATTTAAAAAAGTGTTTTTGTAACTTTAGCAATCAAAAACTATTGAAAACGCTATAAAAATCGCTTTTTTTTGTTATTAATAGGGAAGTAGGGGGTGAAAAAAACAAAACTGGCCCTCCCCCCGCTAACAGCCCATTTCCAGGATTGATCGACGCGTCGTCGTGCCATTGACCAACACACTCACTTCACCCAATTTGTCGGATACTCTCATCCTCTGCTTACAACTTCATTTCTGGACTTGTCTCGCGTTTTCTCACTCCTCATCCCCCTAGTTATTCGCCTGATTCGGTGCTGTGTTTGTGTTTTTGGCTTTTTCTGGCCTTTTCTTTTTCTGTTTCTGTTTGCCGCGCCGCCAAAAAGAGGGGCCGGTTGTGTGTATAATTTATTGATGACATATTATGGATTGATTGTCGCCCTGTGAATCTTTTTTTCCAATTGTCCGCGTCATCCCCGCCCACCCGAATTTTGTTTAGTTAACTGAAATAAACTTACTTTTGCGAATCGAGAAAAGTTGTTTTGGTTTTTTTACACCGGACGCTACGGAGCGATACAGTTGACACGGCTTTTCCGGGCGTAATTGAATAGAGTGAAAAGAAATTTTGGTTCCTAATAGATTTTAGAATGCAACGATTATTAGCGTTCTATAACAATAGTTATTAAGTTAATTTATGTAATACAGCGTATCTATCTACAGCATCAGCATTTAGTTATTTCCAGTCCAAAAGGTTATGCATTTAGTTGTTTGTAGTGTGAGCGCATACTTTACAGCGCAAAATCGTTATTTTAGGGTTCAAATACTTCTAGTCATTACGTGCATTATTACAAGCGTCCGGCCCGTCTGACATTTGCTAAAAGTAAAACCTAAAAAATCGCTGAAGATTTAGAAAGCTTTAGCGAGTAACTTGCTTCATTGAAAGAAGCTTTTCCTGGGTGATTTTCCATTTTTCCGGGCTTTAAACGATTTTAGCGCGGTCGGCTCAACTTGGTCTTTTTCCAGATGAACGTGCTGGAGCTGCTGAAGATTTGCGACAACCTCAAGCACCTAAAACGGACCGGATGGACGAAGTTTAAGGTAAGAAATCGGTTTTTAAAACCGAAAAGAGCCGTATTTTTGGTACCTAATTGGTTTCAAATTACGCTCCAAGGCTTTGTAATCAATTTTTTTCAGTGTTTACAACTTAAAAAGCTACCGAATCCATTTATTTTGATATTTACGACCTTCTATGCGCTTATTTTCAGATCGACGAGCCAGAAACGGTGGCGTGCCACATGTACCGGATGGCCGTGCTGTCGATGGCGCTGGAGGGCCAAATCCCCGGGCTCGACGTCAATCGATGCGTTCGGTGGGTTTTGGCTTTTCTTTTTCCTCGAATGATCTCTGCTAGCCTGCCTCCCCAAATTATCTGCTTTTTTTAGGATGAGCCTCGTGCACGACATTGCCGAGGCGATCGTCGGCGACATCACCCCGCATTGCGGCGTCACCGAGGAGGACAAGCACTCCTTGGAGCACAAGGTTTGATCAAATTTTCTGATAAGTGTTTCTAAACTATTTTTTTACTAATCTTTAACGTAAAAACGTACAAGTTTGGGTAAAAAATGCAAAAAATATCGATTTTTCCACCAAAAATACCCAATTTTGGACAAAATTTCGACGTTTTGAGATTTTTGAAAGTTTCTAGATACTTTTGGACTTAGATTATGTAGCGGACGAAACCGCAAAACGATATGTCAATTTGAAACACGATTTCAGAAAAAGAGAACAGTGCAGAATGGTTTATTCTATAAAAGCTATATCCCTTTTTCAGGCGATGCAAAAAATCGCCACCTACCTGCCGGTCGAGACGGGGGAAGACTGGGTGCAGCTGTGGCGGGAATACGAGGGGAGGTCCACCAAGGAGGCACAGGTCAGCTTTCGTGTCTTGTTTAGATGATTTTTATCGATTATCCCTTTTAATTTTAAATTATAATTATTTTTATCCCCTTTTTCAGGTGGTCTTCCACCTCGACAAATTCGACATGATCGCCCAGGCGTTTGACTACGAGCAGAAATATGGTCGGTTTGGGTTTTTGGGCGGGCTAGCGGAGATTTTTGAGGAATTCTCTAACGGTTCTTTTGCATTATCGGGGGGGGGCGCGGGCGCAGTTTTATATCGTAGCGGCCCTAAAATTTTTTTTTAATTTTTTGAAAAGTCGAAATTGGATAAAAACCCGTCAGAAATATCGATATTTTGGAGATTTCTTACTAAAAATCTGTTTAAATTAAATTTAAACACGTTTTGAAGGCATTATCGTTAATTTTATAGGACCCCCTCCGATGATGCAAAAGAACCAGAGAAAGCGGGCTTGCAAAAGATTTTTTCGGAATCAATTTATCATTTTCAGACGTCGACCTCTCGCAGTTCTTCTCCTCCACCGTCGGCAAATTCACGATGGCGCCATTTACAACGTGGGATCGAGAGCTTCGCGATCGGCGCCAACAATGGATAGATTCAAAAGCCGCGTAATAAATATGCAATTGTTACTGTATTTTTCCAGATTCATTTTGTGATTTTTTTACACGTTGTTTGATGGCTCGAATCGGGTGAATAAATACATGGCCTGCCATAACTGTCGGCTATTGAACTGATGCATTCCAGGCGCGGCACATATTCTTCTGAAACATTTGCCTTTTTAGATTTAATTTTTTTTCAAGGTTAATTTAAGACATTTTGGTAATTTTTACAAATTAAATTTTTGACCAAAAAGCGCAAATTTTTCCAATTTAATTAGTCCCCCCCCCGCTAACAGACCGGTAACGATCAATTTTTCGTGATTTTGTATTTGTGGATTCGCGCGGGCGAATAAATATGTCGTGCAATCAATGCTGGAAACTGAATTTGCAGTTTCCTTGTCGAACCAATTTTTTGCCGAAACATTTATTTTTTTCAGATGGATGGCGGCTTTGATGAATTGGGGTTACATTTCTAAAACTATTAGGGCGAAACCACATTTTCTCTGTGATTCTACACGGCTCTATAAAATAAACAATACAAAAAAAATATAAATCTTTGAAAACGGTGAATAAATGTGGGACGCTTTACCTTTGGATTATTGAATTGTCACGTTCCAGGCACGGCATCTATTCCTCTGAAACATTTGCTTTTTTCAGATGTCGAGCTCTTGGGGAGGGGGGAATGTCTTCGAATTTGATTTTTAGATTTATGTAACACTTTTTCCCATTTTCTACTTTCCTGAAGTCCGTTTATCGCTCTAGAAGGGCCAGATTCAAAAGCCACGAAATAAGTATACAATTGTTAGTACTGTATTTTTGCTAGATCAATTGGTACTGGGCTGTTAGCGGGGGGTCACTAAGCTTTGTTTTTGCTCTCCTATACCTACGTGCTGATAGTCGGTAGTGTATTTTTATCATGTTTTGAGGAGTTTTGAATTGCTAGAAAATTGAAAAATATTTTTTTTTAATTTTGACAACTCGAAAATTTGACATTTTTTGGTCACTCTTTCCAATTCAATTTTTGAAAAAGTCCAAATTTTTCAATTTAATTAGTCCCCCCCCCGCTAACAGACCGGTAACGATCAATTTTTCGATATTTTGCGATTTTGTATTTGTGGGTTCGAGCGGGTGAATAAATATGGCATGCGTCAAGTGCTGGGGCATTGAATTGACAGATTCCTCGCGGGGTTGGTTTTTTTCTGAAACGTTATATTTTTCATATTTTGCGGTTTTTACCAGATTTCTTTGAATTTCAGATATAGGTGGAAAAACAAAAAGTGGCTTCGCACCCCCTCCGCTAACAGTTCAGTACCCTCAAAATTACGTCCAGAAGAAACCAACACGAAACACGAAATTGAATTTCAAGATTCCTTGCCAAGCAATCTTTTTTCCGAAACATTTTGTTGTTTTCCCTTCTCCGGGAATTTCGTTTATTCCCGCACAGTTTAGAGAACGCGAAAAAATCGGGAGCGCGCTCTTCGACCCCGGGAATTGTTTAGAAAAACGTGTATAAAAATATTTTTCGCCTATTTTACTTTACTTTCTAACGATCAAAAACTAGTAAAAACACTGTAAAAATACATAAGCTAGCATCAAAAGGTGGAAAAAAATTGGTGTCCCCCCCGCTAACAGTTCAGTACCCTCAAAATTACATGCAGAAGAATGCGATCGCAACACTAATTGAATTTCAAGATTCCTTGCCAACCAGTCTTTTTGCTGAAACATTCTCCTGTTTTCCGTTTCTCGACCCCGGGAATTGTTTAGAAAAACTGAATAAAAATATTTTTCCCCTATTTAACTTTACTTTCTAACGATCAAAAACCAGTAAAAACTGTAAAAATACATACATAAGGTGGTTTGCCCTGATAAAGCCCCCCCGCTAACAGTCCAGTCCCTCATGATTACCTCCAGAAAAAAATGGAACGTGAAATTGAATTGCCAGAAGCCTGTCCCGGCCAATTTTTATTCTGCAACATTCTTTTGTTTTCCGTTTCTCCGGGAGTTTGGTTTATTCCCGCACGGTTTAGAAAACGCGGAAAAATCGGGAGTGCGCTCGGATACCAGGAATTGTTTAGAAAAAATTGTGAAACCCCCCCGCTACCAGTCCAGAACCCTCAAGGTTACGCCCGGAAGAATTCAGCATCTCAAGCACTACGAATTGAATCGATAGATTCTTCGCCGGGC